CACGCCCACGTCACGCGTCCGTCTGGAATCCATGAGACGTGCCTGGCTGCACGATGATAATCTGCAGCTTTTCAAATTCAGTGGCATGTGTCGCTTGACCCGAAGTTGGGGAGGGTGGGTGCTGACGGCCACCCTGCAAGGCCGCACCTGGCACGCGGGCTCTGGGTGCTCTGGGTGGCAGCTGGGGTCAGAGTGAGTGATGCACATGGACAGGAACCCATCTCCCCGATGTTATACAGAAACTAATGTCAACGACTTCTATTTGCCATGAGTGTGACGACCTCTCTGCCCTTACAGCTGGTGAACCAAACCTGTGTCTCTCATGTCTCCAAATGAGGCAAGAGACTAGCTCCAAACCAGCGTCTCTGTGTCTCCCTTGCATGCTCGTTTCAGGTTCAGGTCTGGGGTGGAGCTCCCCTTGTTTGGCTGGGTTTTTCCTTCAGTTTCTTCTTTTTAAAGCAGTATTTATTGGGTGTTTTTTCTGATTGTAAAGTATACATTATGGAAATATCAGAGCGTGCAGGAAGGCTAAAGAAGAGAGTCACCACCCGCCCTTCGGGCCTCTAGCCATTGCACGTCTGCTCTGCCTGTTGTCACGAGGGTGCTGCTTTCCTAATTTCTGTCCTGAGTCCTGTTCTGTGATCTCATGCCGTATTCTGTGCTGGAAGGGCTTCTGAGGACGTGCTCTACGTAAAAGGGGCTGAATGCTGCGTTTTGTGATGTCTAGAAGGGGAAGCACATTCTTACCTGTGCTGCCGGCACGTGCTTCTTTGTTTCGGATGCGTGTGGCTGTGTGTCGTGTTCCTGTCCTTTGCTAACAAGCAGGGATGCTGTTCCACTTTCACTGCAGCCTGTTTGCATTTAACATCTATCCCAGGAAGCGTCAGAGGTGGGGACCCTGTAGTTTGTGGGCATATCCAGGTGTCCTGAGCACCAGCCTTTAGACAGAGAAGGTTGGATGTAGATGATTGATAAGTTGGGGGTGTTTGTAAGAAAGGAGGGCTCGCGCCTGCCCCAGTGACCAGCTGGTCACGCTACTCGGAACTCTGGACGTGATTGCTGCACACGTACCACACACACACAAACACACACAGCTTCTGCACACCCACCCCCACACACATCCACTGCACACCCACCTCACACACACAGCCTCTGCACACCCACCACACACACAGCCTCTGCACACACACAGCCTCTGAACACACACACACACAGCCTCTGCACACCCACCTCACACACACAGCCTCTGCACACCCACACACAGCCTCTGCACACCCACCACACACACAGCCTCTGGCCTTAGTCGTGAATTTTCACCCAATATCAGATTCATGCACAAAGCCCTCCCACCACACAGCCTCTGCATACCCACCTCACACACAGCCTCTGCACACCCACCACACACACAGCCTTTGCACACCCACCCCCACACACATCCACTGCACACCCACCTCACACACACAGCCTCTGAACACACACACACAGCCTCTCTGCACACCCACCACACACACAGCCTCTGCACACCCACCTCACACAAGCCTCTGCACACCCCACACACACAGCCTTTGCACACCCACACACACATCCACTGCACACCCACCTCACACACACAGCCTCTGCACACACACACAGCCTCTGAACACACACACAGCCTCTGCACACCCACCACACACACAGCCTTTGCACACCCACCACACAGCCTCTGCACGCCCACACACACAGCCTCTGCACACCCACGTCACAGCCTTTGCACACCCACCCCCACACACATCCACTGCACACCCACCTCACACACACAGCCTCTGAACACACACACACAGCCTCTGCACACCCACCTCACACACAGCCTCTGCACACCCACCACACACACAGCCTCTGGCCTTAGTCGTGAATTTTCACCCAATATCAGATTCATGCACAAAGCCCTGTGGAGAACACAGAGAAGAGTTTAAAAGAAAGAGAAAACATGGCAGTTGCACTCATCCCGTCACAAATAAAGGGCCTCTCAACCAACACGTGGCTGCTTGGCCCTTGTGTTCACCTAAACAGGCTTGTTTCTACTGGTCCAGGCCCTGCCTACCACGTGGGGCCATGGCTCCTGCGTGTGCCCTGTGGTTCTGTGATGGTCCCTTGCTGACGGTCCCCGCTCCTGAGAGCCCCAGGCCCCGAGTCTAGAGATGTCCTCTGCACGACTTCCCAGCTTTGTTTCTGTTTTTGGCGTGTCCTGTCGTGCAGTCCGCAGTGTGACAGCGTCCCCAGCTGTGGTGTCGACCCTCTGCGGAGAGGGAAGGGGCAGAGGAAGAGGGGCGATTGGCTCTCGCTGGCTGTGGGGGGACAGAGGTTCGGGCGGTGGGGACCGCCTCCGTGGGGACGCGCTGGACCAACGAGCCCTGGCTCAGAATCAGAGCATCACAGGTGTCGGCCCTGGAGGCCCATCAAAATCTGGGCACTGCCTCCGTGGCAGGGAGCTCCTCTATGGGTTCAGTGCCCAGAGAGCCCCCCAGCCCTTAGATTCACCCACGTGGTAACGCCTGAGAACTCTCACTCGGGCCTGGCTGCTCCACGGCAGCGGGCAGGCCTGCTGGCACTTTGTATGTTTTCACGGAGGGATCCCCAAACCCAAAAGGCCCCCAGATTGTCATCCCCAGCTCTCCCGCCCACCCGGCAGGACCACAGGAGGAGGGACCCCGCCCTCCCCAGGACCGGGGCTGTTCCCGCTCAGTCTCTGTGCTGGATACAGGACTGAATTCATTTGTAGACGTGTTTCCCTCGCTTCTGCTTTTCCATTTCTTGTATTTTTTCTTTTCCTCCTGTTGTTCCTTTCTCACTTCGTTTGCTTTCTGTCCTCTGCTTGTTCTCACTTCTCCTCTCCCTCCCCCTCCACTTCCACCTCCCCCTCCTCTCTGTCCGTCTCGCCTCGTCCTCCTTGTTTGGCCCTTTTTGAAGTTGAGCCCAGTGGCGGGACTCCACGACGTAGACCTCTCTCCTTCTGCCCTTGCTGTGTCCAGGAAGGTAAAGTAAACCCCGACCTCCTCCCCACCGCCGCTGGGGGGCCGTAGCAACACTAGTCAAACAGGGACCCGAAACCCAGCTCTTTCTCCTTCTTCTGGTACCTGGTAGCCCTGTTACAAACCCCTGAGTATGTGGCAGAGTCCCTTACAAGGCACAGTATCCCTTCGACTGTCTCGGGGGGCTGGGGGGTGGGTGCAGGCAGGGAGCAGGTCCAGGTCTGGGGGCCTCAGGCTGCAGGCATCCACGGTTCCAGGCCACCACTCGTGGTCGGGCCTTTCAGCCTCCAGTCCCGCAGATAGAGGGACCGGGACGTGGGTGAGGAGCCCTGCCCCGTGTGGCAGCGATTTATGCTGGTGAAGTCGAGGAATACTGTCCTTACAAAGACTGTTCTGCACAGATGCCCCAGTTCCTTCCAAACCACTAAAAGCAGACTTCTCTGCCCTGTGTCTTGCTGAGTGTGTGTGTTTTAAGTTTGTCTGGTTTGCAGTCCCTTGTGGTGGTGATTGTCGTTGACAAGGCATGCGGGCGGGGCCGGGGAGTGTGACCACGGCTAACCCGCTAACCTTCCTCTGCTCTCCCCGGCGCTCGCTCACCGCTGACCGCCACCAGCTGCGTCCACCTTGGCCGTCCCTCCGGAGCTGGCTCGAGCGCTTCAGGAGGCATCCTGGCGCCCAGAGAGCTTACCTGCTCCGGGCCCCGTGCTCCCCGTACGCCCCGCGGGTGCCCTGTGCAGAGCCGCTCAGGAAGGAACGCGCGGAGCTGGATGGGGGCCTGCCGGGCGGTCGGGAGTGCTCTGGCCCCGGCGCCCAGCACGCACTCCGCAGCGGCCAGGACTCAGGACAGCGCAGTGCAGACACGGCCCCTGCCCTCGCGTGTGGTGGGAGGTTGGGGTCCCTGAGAGCCACCCCGTGTGTTCCTGGGCTTGGTTTTACTGGGAGAGGACTTCCGACCAGTGACCCATAAAGCAGAGGCACTTGGAGAGACCTCCCCGTCCCGGCCTCCTCTTAGCCCAGCCGTGGGTGGACTTGTGGGGCCCATGAACACCTGGAGTCCTTGGCAGAGATATCGGATGTGTTCACGTGCAGTTTTCCAGGAAGAGAGTCCCCAAGTTTCCTGAGACTGTCGAGTGGCTTGTAATCTGAAAACAGCGAAGAGCCACCACAGTCGGGCTTCTGCGTCTGGACAGGACCCACTACGGCCGTGGGCCTCCTTGTGTCTCCTCCGTGGGGTGTGGCTCCTTGGAAGGGTCTTCCTTCCCTCCTGCTGCGGCTGAGCCCAAGGGGGTCAGGCCGCTCCTGGTGGAGACGGGTGTCAGCTGAGTAGGGTGCAGGCAGCCGAGTGTGGGTGGCACCAGCCCCAGGAGCTGCTGCTGGGCTTGGATCAGAGCGGGGGGGAGCCTGCGGTCTCCCTGCCCTGGTGAGAGTCCCCACGCCTCCCAGGGACGTACTGCGTCTGCCGTGCAGGGGTCGCGGCAGCATCCGTCAGGAAGCCGCAAGTTGAGAGGCACCTCCCTGGTCAGGATATCGGAAACGAGGAGGCCTCGGGGCAGTGACCCTGTGGAGGTGCCGTAGTGAGTGTCCCCGGAAAGGAGGGCCGAGTACCCTCCCTTTTAATCTCCACTTGCCTCTTCATTAGACTGGCCTCAGAGCAGACCTACTACCTAGCAAGTACCAAATACGTGCTAGATGAATGAAAAAGAGAAAAAAGGAGGGCAGAGCACCGAAAACATGCCAAGGGAAAGCAAGCGGCCGAGTAGGAGAGGTCCAGGCGAGCTGCCTCCAGTGGCTGGGGCGTGAGGCCGGCCGGAGGGACAGAGGAAGGCGCAGGCTGGGGACCCTTGTGGGTGGGCGTCCTCGTGGCCGAAGGCAGGCTGGGCCTGGCCCGGGAGCGTCGGGCAGCGCCCTGCTGGGCCCTCTGCACACTCGCCCCGTTGCCGCGTCCGGCTGGGGACAGCGGCACGGCCTGCCCGACACAGCCTCTCTCGGCAGGCATGGGCAAGAAGGACGACCCCAGGCTGATGCGGGAGTGGTTCCGGCTGGTGCAGGAGAAGAACGCCGTGGTGCGCTATGAGTCGGAGCTGATGATCTTGTGAGTGGCCTCGGGTCGGGGGAGCCGAGGTGGGACGTGGGCGCAGGGCCCGTCGCAGCCGGAGCTTAGCCCCCTCCCAGCTTAGGGGCCGCGGAGCCGCGCCACGCCCCACCAGTCACTGGCTCGTTTCCCCCCCCGAATCCCCGGAAACCCCAGCGCCCGGGAGCTGGAGCTGGAGGACCGGCAGAGCCGCCTGCAGCAGGAGCTCCGTGAGCGGATGGCCATGGAAGGTAGGAGGGCCGGGGAGGCGGGCGCGGGCCTGCCCCCGGCGCTGGGGCTCACGTGCTTGGCTTTGCCCAGATCACCTGAAGACGGAGGAGGAGCTGTCGGAGGAGAAGAGGGTCCTGAACGAGATGCTGGGGGTGGTGGAGCGGAGGGACGCCCTGGTGGCCCTGCTGGAGGAGCAGCGGCTGCGGGAGGAGCGGGAGGACAAGGACCTGCAGGCCGCCGTGCTGTCCAAGGGCTTCAGCCTGAACTGGTCCTGAGCGCCGCCCAGCCCGGGCCGCGCTGGGCACCGTGCGGCCTGGGCTGGCTGCTCCCAGACCACCCGGATGCGAGGTCGCAGTGGGCCTGCTGCCTCCTGGGAGTTTGCACTCGGACCTCCTCGTGGCTCCGAGAAGCGGTCGGGTGCCGAGCCGTGGGAGCCCCAGTGAAGACGGTGGTCCAGCAGCGCAGCCCCCTCGAAGAGGCCTCCCCGCCCTCCTGCTTCGGAGACGGGGAACGCGGATCCCGGGGGCGCGAGGGACGTGGCCCCATCCTGGTCCCCGGGCCCAGGGGGCCAGCGCAGACTCCATCCAGGGCTGAGGAGGCCCGCCCCACGGCCCAGTGCCACACTCCAGGCCTCTCCTGGCTGTGGCCTGAGGCCTGAGGCTGCTGCACTTGCTTTTAATTCACAACACTGGAAGATACTGACTTTGGGGTCGGGCAGAGACCCTCTTCTGGCCCCGCCACAGGCCTGCGGCCTTGTCACGGGCTCCTCGTGGCGGGCAGGAGGCCTCACCTCGTTCCCGGGCTTGCCCCGAACGAAGCTGACAGCCTGGGAGGCATGGCCTCTGTGTCAGTTGACTTACTTTTTTAATACTTGAAAAGAAGCAACTTCACTTTTATATCTTTACCAGGACACTGATTGCCTGGCACCTGGGTAGGGGCGTGGAGGTGGGTCCCAGCTGACCGCGCTGTCACTCCATTCATTACTCTTTCACCGTGGGGCTGACCTGAGCCCTCAGGTCAGCAAGACCCCCGTGTGGGCCCCGGCATGCAGTGCCCGTCCTCCTGTGCCTGGCTCCGGGCGTCCGTGTCTACATCGCTCGCTTGTCAAGGATGCGTTTGAGCTGCTGGAGGCCACGCCATGAGGCACAGATGCCTCTTGGCCTCCCTGTTGGAATCCTGGCTCTGCAGAACCCATTTTTCCTCCGTTTTGGTGCCGAGATCTCACCTCCCACAGCATGTTTGTTAAAGAAAGTTTTAGGCCGGCTGCACCAGCGTGTGGGACCCTGCTCAGCGAGGCCCAGATCCAGCCAGCTGGAGCTGCAGTGACGGCACACTGGGGGACTCCAGTTGGGGTCACACACACACACACACACACACACACACACACACACACACACGAGCTCCAGCCCAGCTCCAGCCCAGCGCCTCTTCGTGGGGAGGCACTGGACAGGAAGAACCGTGGAGCCAGCTCGTGCTGTGGCTCAGCCAGAGGCCGGCAGTGTCCACCCTGCAGAGCCACTGTTAGACTCTGCAGGGGCCGTGCTCATCCACAGAGGAGCGAGGGCAGCGCCAGGCCAGTCCCGAGGCCCTCCAGCCGACTCCTGGTGGAGCGGGACCGTGTGCAGGGAAGAGAGGCCTCAGGGCAGGACAGGGGGTGTCCCTGGGGAACCACATCGTGCCTCAACTTGAACAGTCATTCTCACTGCAAAGGAGCAAAGAACTGTCTTCTTCAGTCTGTCCCAGAGCTGCCGTCTGGAATCCAGGGCACGCGCTGCTGCAGCCCTCGCGGCTCTGACCTTCACCTCTTGCTTGATGAGGTAGAGCCTCCATTTCGATTCTCGTTTCTTAAAAGGGGGAGCGGAGGGTGTTCTAGATCCCATCCTTAAATCCCAGCCTTCCAATAAAATGGGGCTTGGGACAGGATTCATCGCCTGTGCGGCCTTTGCCTACCCTTCCCACCCACCGCCCCGGTGCACCGCAACTGCCAGGCCCGTCCCTCGAGCTTCTGCCCACCCAGGACGAGGACAAGTTTACAGAGTGGCCAGGAGGGACACGACACCCGCCCCTGCGGAAGCACACTGTGCCTGCAGGAACGAGGACGGCCTGGAGGCTGCAGAGAAGCTCGGAAATGCTCCCCCACTCCCTCCCGCAGGGCTGAGACTTCAGGTTCTAGCAGAGCACTTTTCCTGAAAGCTCCCGTTTTATAACCACTAGTTTGCAGGTTGTTGTAGTGCCCTGCTGACGGGCTGCATGCAGTGTTTCCCAACTCTGGAAATGCACTCAGCTCCTGTCAAGTCCCCTTGGGCAGCAGGAAATCTCTCTCTCTGAAATGCCACGGCGTGAGCAAGCCCAAGCCCGAGGCCCGTGCAGAGACAGCGGGTTCAGCTCCAGCAGGGGCATGGCGGCAGCGCACCTCGCCTCAGTCTGAGGCCACCAGCGGCTCCACCTGGGGGTCCAGTCCTGCTCAGATGGCGTCTTCTGGCCTTTGCCCCGGGAGCTGTCCTCCAGCTGCTCTGACCAGCAATGATAGACTATCCGCTATCTTTTCAAAGAGCAAATTTTTTTCAGTGGGGCAGAAAGTGGAGAGAGTTTAAAGAAAATTTTAAAGGTGGTAACAACGGATCTACAAAGGGGAATGGGCCATCTTATGCGCAATAAAAGTTTTTAAAACAAGTACAGAGTGTATTCTTGGCATGAGCCAGGGCACGCTCTTCGGTGGGTTGGTGTCCACACACGGTGGCACCTGTCAGTGTGTGTATGGGTTTGAAGAATACAACCTTTGTGCTTTCTCAGCCGACTTTATTTTTGTCTATGTTGTCCTGGTCTGGCCACCTGCTGACACCCCTAGAGAAAGTGTGTGTGACACCCAGGGTGTACGCGGCCGCCCTCCAAAGCAGCGCCAGGACCCTCCCGGAGAGACGCGTGTTCTGTGAAGTGGTCTCCTCGTCAGGGTGACCCCGAGGCCCTGGCAGCCCGGTGCTGTGGGCTCTGCAGCCTGCAGGCCGAAGTCGATGAGATGCATCCACCTCCCCAAGTACCTCCAGAGCACAGGGTCTTGGGAGCCCTGATGTTGTGGCCCCAGTGCCCTCCTCGTGTGCTGGCCGCGGGGCGTGTGGCTGGCCTCTGTCACCGTGGAGCTAATCCCAAAGGCACAGGGCTTCCCTCTGGGGCGGCAGTGGGCGGGGTCCGTGCCGGGCCAGCTGATTCCCAGAGCCTCCGGCACCACGTGCACATCGGGTAGAAAAACAGCAGCAGCGTGGCCCTCGATTCCTCAAAGGAAGCCTGGGTCAGGGACTGTGCCTGGTGGGGGCAGTGGGGCTGGTGCCATCTGTGCTGACCCCCTTTTGGTCCTCAGAGGGGCCCCTTGATCAGAGATGGAGACAGGCAGGGTTTGGCTGTGGTTCACAGGCACCCACGTGGTAGGAGGTGATGGTGGCTTCAGGCAGACAACTGAGGGAAGGCTGCCCTGCAGCTGCCACCGTTCGTCCAAGAACCCATGTCCGTGGCTCCAAAATCCCTCCTGGACCCTGATCCCCACGGTCCCTGAGTGGGAAATGGGAAGGACGGAACGGGCTGTTGTATTGCCCGGAAGACTTCCCCGAGTGCGAGTGCGGCTCGGCGGGGAGGGAGGAAGCATCCTCGGGTGGGCCAGCGCCCACAGCGCACAGAGACCTCCAGTGCGGTGCCCAGGGGCCAGGGCTGCCGGGCTTGGCAGGGAGCGTTTTGTGGCAGCCCCACGCCCATGTTCCCTCTCTGAGGTGGCCTTGCAGCTTGGACTTCAGCGGGGCAGCGGAGAAGGCCCCTGGTTCCAGGACAGACGTGGAGAGAGCGCCCGGGGTGCACACGTGCACACACGCTGCCCCTGCTGGCTGAGGGTCTCGGACCTCTCGGGGTTTCCGGTCACTAAGTCACTAAACAACCCGCTTCCGCCGCCCGCAGCGTGTCCAGGGCAGCGCGAGCCCGGGAGGCGCCTCGGCCCGCACCCGCGTCTGCCTCAGGCGGAGGGAGCAGCGGGACGGAGCGCGCGCGCGGGGGCAGAGAGGGGGGCGGCCCAGGGGCGGAGGGCGCGGGGACTGGGGGCCCGGGCGGTACTCACCTCTCTGCCTGTCCTTCGAGGTCCAGAGCCTCGGCTCTGTCTTGGTGGGAAAGCGCCTTGAAGGTTGGGAGCTGGTCCACCCCCGCCCAGGGCCAGACCTTTCTCCAGGGCTGGGGTGGCCCCCCCTACACGTCATCCAACCTCCCCCAGCCTCCAAGCAAGTTACTGGGCCTCCCTGGCCTCCCAGACTGACCCCTCTGAATGCACCTCGACCCAGTGGGTTCTGTGGGGCGGGCGGGGACCACAGAGGAGGAGCTTGGAGGGGCCTGGGTGCTGCAAAGAGCTCTCCCGGCCTCTGCTGGTCTGGCTCTTGGTCTAGAGCGGGGAGGGCCCGTGGCCCCGTAGCCCGATTCCCACTGCACGCCTGGGACCCACAGCCCTCGGGATGTGAGATGTCAGCCCTCGCGAACTGGCTGTCAGTCTGCATCCTGCAGACGGTGACGGGATGGGGTGGCCAGGATGGAGGAAAGCTGGAGCCCACAAATCCCGAGTCAGCTGGGCGCCAGGAGGGAGGAAGTGGTGTCTGCGGCTGTGGAACCCTGACCCCTAGAGAAGGCTGGGGCGGGGGTGCCGTGGGAGGTGGAGTGTGAGCCTAGCTGCTGCCCAGAGCCCCCATCCCGAAGGGATTTGTCTTGGGGAAATCAGAGGCCTCACCTCCTCGGCTTGAGGGGACCGGTGCCCGTCGAAGCAGCAGCGACTGTGGGAGTCCCCTCGGAGCCCTGGCCTCAACCCTGCAGGCTCCAGGGCCCCCTGGCTGGTCCAGCCCCACGCGGGCCCCGCGGTGCAGGCAGCTCAGGAGGAGGACGGCGGCGCGTCCCTGTGCCCCCTTCTTCCCCTTCCTGCCCCTTCAGAGCCCAGCTCCCTCTGCCCACACCACCTCCCACACGCAGACCTCTGGCTCCCGGCTGCCCACATCATGGCTTGGTGTTTGTACACATTACAGATCAATCGCCAGTAGGTCTAGTTAACATCCATCACCTCACATAGTTTTTTCCTGCAGTGAGAACATTTAAGATCTACTCTCTCAGCAACTTCCACATACACGACACAGCAGTGTTAACTACAGTCACCATGCTGAACATTTTATTCCCAGGACACATTTATTTTATAAATGGAAGTCTGTACCTTTCGACCCCCTTCACCCATTTCACCCACTCCTTGTCCCTGTCTCTGGGAGCCACGAATCTGCTCTCTGTGTCCGTTTTTCTTCCTTTCTCCCCCTCTCTCTCTCTCTCTCTCTCTCTCTCTCTCTCTCTCTCTCTCTCTCTCTATTTTTGGCTGTGTTGGGTCTTCGTTGCTGCGCGCGGCTTCCTGTAGCAGAGTGGGGGCTACTCTTTGTTGTGGTGCGCGGGCTTCTCATTGCGGTGGCTTCTCTTGTTGTGGAGCGTGGGCTCTAGGCAGGCGGGGTCAGTAGTTGCAGCACGCGGGCTCAGTAGTTGTGGCTCGTGGGCTCTAGAGTGCAGGCTCAGTAGTTGTGACGTACAGGCTTAGTTGCTCCATGGCATGTGGGATCTTCCCGGACCAGAGCTCAAACCCGTGTCCCCTGCATTGGCAGGCGGATTCTTAAGCACTGCGCCACCAGGGAAGTCCCCAGGTTTTGTTTTTGTTTTTAGATTCCACATATGAGATCATACAGTATTTGTTTTTCTCTGACTTATTTCACTAATGCCCTCAAGGTCCATCCACATTCTTGCAAAGAGCAGGAACTCCTATTTGTGGCTGAACAGTATTCCATTATATACACACACACACACACACACACACACACACACACACACACACACACACACACACCACATGTGGCTCACATCTTCTTTATCCATTCATCAGCCAATGGACACTTAGGTTGTTTCCATGTCTTGGCTATGGTGAATAATACTGCAGTGAACAGGAGGATGCAGATATCTCTTCAAGATAGTGATTTCATTTTTTGGATAAATACCCAGAAGCGGAATTGCTAGATCATATGGTAGTTCTATTTTTAATTTTTTGAGGAACCCCCATACTGTTCTCCATAGTGGCTGCACCAATTTACATTCCCACCAACAGTGCACAAGGGTCCCCTTTTGTCCACACCCTCACCACCAACACTTGTTATTTCTTACTTTTTGATAATAGCCATTCTAGCTTCTTTTCATGTGCCTGTTGGCCATTTGTATGTCTTCTTTGGAGAAATGTCCAAGTTCCTCTGCCCATTTTTCTAATCAATTTTTTTGCTTGTTTTTGCTGTTGAGTGGTGTGAGTATATATATATATATATATATATATATATATGTATATGTATGTAGATATATATATATATTGGCGGCTCCGCATAGCATGTGGGATCTTAGTTCCCCAACCAGGGATGGAACCCAGGCTCCATTGGAAGTGTGGAGTCTTAACCACTGGACCACCAGGGAAGTCCCTTTTATATATTTTGGATATTAATCCCTTATCAGATGTATGATTTGCAAATATCTTCTCCCATTCCATAGATAGCCTTTTTATTTTGTTAATGGTTTCCTTTTAAATTTGACGTGGTCCCACTTGTTTATTTTTGCTTTTGTTGCCTTTGCTTTTGGTGTGAAACCAAAAAAAAATCATTGCAAAGATTGATGTCAAAGAGCTTACTGCCTATGTTTTCTTCTAGGAGTTTTTTGGTTTCAGGTCTTACATTCAAGTCTTTAATCCATTTTTTTTTTTTTTTGCTGTATGCAGGCCTCTCACCGTTGTGGCCTCTCCCGTTGCGGAGCACAGGCTCCGGACGCGCAGGCCCAGCGGCTATGGCTCACAGGCCCAGCCGCTCTGCGGCATGTGGGATCCTCCCAGACCGGGGCACGAACCCGTGTCCCCTGCATCGGCAGGCGGACTCTCAACCACTGCGCCACCTGGGAAGCCCTTTAATCCATTTTGAGTTGATATTTGTGTGGGGGGTAAGACAGTGGTCCAGTTTCATTCTTTTGCATGTAAGCTGTCCAGTGTTCCCATCACCAGTGATAGGGGTCACTGTAGGAGTGGCCAGCAGCCAGAAGCAGCAGTGAGAAACCTCAGGAAAAAGTAAAACCGAGGTCAGGTCCTGGCTCTGCTTAGCTGGCTACACCTCTCAGTCAAAACCGCCCTGGGGGACTTCCCTGGTGGTCCAGTGGTTGACTCAGTGCTTCCAATGTAGGGGTCGTGGGTTCGATCCCTGGTCGGGGAAATAAGATACCGTGCAGTGCGGCCAAAACAAAAAAACAAAACGCACTGGGTTTTGTGTTCTGTTTTCATTGCCGAGACCATCATTCTGTTTGTTTATCTATGTATTTATTTTCTCATTTTTAACACATGGATGGATTATAAAGCCCACAGCATAGCAGAAGATGCAAATTAGAACTGGGGGCTGGATTGGGGAGAAGGGACCTTAGGGGGCCTACTGGTGTGGGTCCCGCCTGGCCTAATGGGCAGTGGCTGGCGCAGTGTTCAGGATGAGATCCCACTGCTCACCTATCCTCCCACCCTCCCGTGTCACCCACTCCACACAGCGACGTCCCCTGCGTGCAGAATGCCCTTCCCCTCTTGCCACATCTTGTCCCTTTCTGGCTTTCAGCTGCCAGTTTAGATGTCACCTTCGTAGACGACCCAGTCCCGCTGGCCACCCCGCTGGCCACTCGCCCTTACAGCACCCTGCTCAGCCTTCAGTGCAGCACCCACCTCCTGTTCACACGTTCATTCCACGCTGAGTGCCCCTGGGTACCGCGGCGAGAGAGTGACATTCCAGGGAGGGGACACCTTCCAACACACACACACAATTACGTCATATTTCAGGTAAAAACGTGCTGGACAGAATGGAGCCGGGCCCAGGGAAGCGCAGGGACAGTGGCGGGATTCAAGCAGAGAGGGTGCAGAGCACAGAGGACTTTGTGGGCTATTGAAAAGGCCCCAGGAAACCCAAGAGGGTTTTCAAGAGTGGGGTAACAACACCTGACATTTTACAGCAGGAGGGAGGATACTGGAGCCAAGGTGGCAGGGAGAGAGCGGTTAGGAGGCTGCTGCCCTGATGGGAGGAGGGGCAGCTTGGACCCTGCGCAGGTGGGAGCTGCCGGGATGCTTGGACACAGCTGGCGGGAGTGCGGAATGGCACAGCCACTCTGGAAAGCATACAGTTTCTGATAAAATTAAACATTCCACAGCACTATGCCCCAGCAGCCCCACTCCTAGGTATGAGACTGAAGAGGAGTGAGGACACACATCTACAAAAAGGTTGGCAGGACAGTGTTCACAGCAGGACTACTGTGACCGCCATCTGGGGAACATGGTGTTGCTGCCGGAGCCACAGCAGCCCTTCACGGCCCAGGAGGCTGTGATGTGGAAAGTGAAATCACGGTCAGAGGCCTGTGTAAAAAGGCAGAGACGCATGTCATCCATCACCCAAGTTTAGCGGTCAGAAGCTGTGAGAGTAAGAGGAGAGTTGGGTGGTGCTGAGGTTGGAAGGATTACTGGCTCTATGCTTTGGTTTGAAGTTAAACTCCTCCTGACAAGACCACAGTGAGAGCCTGGGAGCAGCTTTTAGGCAGCATGATTTGGCCTGGCTGGTCCACATAGGGTACTGGCAATGCATCTGTGGTCCTAGAGATGAACTTACGGCTGTAGAGTGTGGGTGTGGGGGGGGGCGGGGCTGATGGCTTATGCAGGCGGCCTCAGTGGTCAGGTGAGGAGTTCTGTCCCCGGCCATTGCAGGGAGAGAGTGCTGAGCTGGGACCCCTGATGGGTGGCTGGTCCTGTTGTCCCTTCACACCAGTCATGTGTCTGTTGGGATGAACCTGCTCTCGTTCAGATTTTCTAGATTGTCCCTGTTCATACTTCCTTCAGAGCTGCACATAAAAGCCAAAACTTTCACTTGAAGTTAGGTGTGAGACAAAGTTGGACTCTTGTAGTGGAAATTGGCAGTTCCATCCCTTCCTTGCAGGGCTGTGAAATCAGTCCCTCCCTCTCTCTCTCTTGTTTTGACTGCCAGGAGCCCCATTTAAAAGTACTTGCTGTTTAATACTTTTATCACTTGGATATGCAGCTCTGATAAAGAAATCAAATTGGGACATAGATAACACTGCCTAGATTTAAAAACTGTTCCCTCAGTGGCCTCTGCAGGGACACGTGGTTCCCAGTTCCCATTATGTGATCTTTATTACACAGTTTTTTTAAAAAATTAATTTATTTTTGGCTGTGTTGGGTCTTTGTTGCTACACGCGGGCTTTTCTCTAGTTGCGGAGCGGAGGCTACTCTTTGTTGCGGTGCACGGGCTTCTCATTGCAGTGGCTTCTCTTGTTGCAGAGCACAGGCTCTAGGCACGCGGGCTTCAGTAGTTGTGGCACGCGGGCTCTAGAACGCAGGCTCAGTAGTTGTGGTGCACGGCCTTGGTTGCTCCGCGGCATGTGGGATCTTCGCGGACTAGGGCTCGAACCCGTGTTCCCTGCACTGGCAGGCGGATTCTTAACCACTGCGCCACCAGGGAAGTCCCTATTACATAGATTTTATTCACTGTAAAATTGGTGCCACAGTCATTTAAGAAAAATTGGAAAGTACAAAAAAAGTAGAAAATCCTGCGATTTTATCATTTCACTGTAACCAGCCCATGGTTTCTGGTTATATTTCTTTCCGGTCTTTTTTCTTCTTTTTAAAATTCGGTTTCTATTCCTGAGTTCGCGTGTAGCGACTGCCCTGGTCCCCGGAGGCCTCTGTTCCTGCTTCTCCGCGCGCGGCCTCGAGGTGGGCCTGGGGCGGAGCCTTGTCGGGGTGCGGCCGGGAAGGGGCGGGGCCGCAGCAAGGTTGAGGAAATGATGGGGTGGGGGCGTGGCCGTGGCGGGGCGGCCGTGGCCGGCAGTGAGGGGGCGGAGCCTTGTCGGGGCGGGGCGGGAGCTACAGGAAGTGGGCTTGCGGCGGCTGCGCGCTCCGCCCCCGGAATGTCAGCTTTTTCCCGCCTGAGCCCTGTGCCCAGCCGTGTGGCCGCCTGCCGCCGCCGTGGGAGGTGAGTACCGCCCGGCGTCCCCAGTCCCCGTGCCCTCCGCCCCTGGGCCGCCCCCTCTCTGCCCCCGCGCGCTCCGTCCCGCTGCTCCCTCCGCGTGAGGCAGACGCGGGTGCGGGCTCTGGCGCCTCCCCGGCTCGCGCTGCCCTGGACACGCTGCGGGCGGCGGAAGTGGGTTGTTGAGTGACTTAGTGACCGGAAACCCCGAGAGTTCCGAGACCCTCAGCCAAGCAGGCCGGGCCCGGGGCGTGGGGCGCGTTTCTTTCATCCAGCGAGCGGGACACGCTGCGCTGCCGGGGTGGGATGGCCCTCACGGGGGAGGGGGTGGTCTTCACTGAGGGGGCCTCACCCCTGAGACCCTTTCGGGCGACTCCGCCCCGGCCATGCCCCTCCTAAGGGTCTGTCTGCTGCCCAGGCCTCCGTCGGCGGCCCCAGCAGGGGCACGTGGTTCCCAGTCCCATCCCACCCGTCGGGACGCAGGCAGGTCGGGCTGGGGGCTCTCCTGGGCCCGGGTCCCTGCCATCTTCGGGCAAACCCTGAGCCCGCCGGGAGCCACGGGTGACTGTCCCTGGAAGAGGGTCTGCGCTCGAGCTGGGGGAGGGTGGGAGGAGCCCTCCGGCTGCAAGGGTTGAGCTGGCTCTAGGAAGGCACCGCGGGGAAGAGGATGGGGCGGCTTCTGGCCTCCTGCCGCGAGGGAGGAGTGCAGTGCACAGGGGCAGCCTTAACGCTGGGGTCCAAGGACGGACTTCTCTGGGCTGGGCCCAGAGAAGGCTCCGCGGGACAGGTGCTATGTGGTGGGAACGGCGACGTCGGGACACCGGGATGCAGGCTTTGGGGCAGAGAGCTGCCGGAACAGGGGCTGGGTCCCGTAAGTCTTGTCTGAGGAGGTCAGGCCATCCGAGGTGGCTTCTGAGGGGTTGATAGGAGCTTGCCAGCAGTGCGGGAGTGCTGGGGGAGGGTCCCCACTCCCGGGCCTTCGCAGACCCAGGACTGGAGGTCCCACTTACTGCAGATGCGAGCGGCCTGCCCGGAAGCCCCGGCACCCAGGGGCAAGGAGGAGGGGGACCGGCCTG